AGTGTTGCTGTGACCCCCTAGGAAAAGGTTATGCCCCGCCCTGTAGATATTAATTTGGTTGGTTTTAAAAGAGAATGGGTCTATCAAGGTCTCTCAGCCTTGAACATTCAAATACAGGCAGTCCTCAACTTACAACAGTTCATTTGTGATGTTTCAAAGTTACAATGGCATTGGAAAAAGTGACTTATGACCATTTTTCACATTGCAACATCCCCTAGTAACATGATCAAAATTCAGACATTTGGCAATTAGTTCACATTTTTGACAGTTGCAATGTCCTGGGGTCATGTGATAATTTTCTGTGACCTTCTGAGAAGCAAAGTCAATGGAGAAGCCAGGTTCACTTAACAACTGCCACTAACTTAATAACTGCAGTGATTCACCTAACCTCTGGGGCAAGAAAGGTTGTAAAATGAGGCAAAATTCACTTAACTGTCTCCCTTAACAACAGAAATTTTAGATTTAATTGTGGTCGTAAGTCTAGGATTACCTGTATTATCCAGCTGGGGACAGCATCTATCCATATACCTAGTTGCAGAAGAGCAATGGTAGAAGAATGGTATGTCTCCTGGTCCTGCTTATGAATACCTCAGAGGCTTCTCATTGGCCATTGTGGTAAACATTTATTTGATTTAGAAGCTGCCACCCTCAAAATGCTCAGTGTTGGACTAAGATGGGGCATAGCCAGATTCAGTAGACTTCTTACATTCTTAGGGACAACAATCTGATTTTTTTCTGCAAGTAGTATATAAAGGCACCATTTCATCCATGTTATTTATTGGGATATAGAATAAAGAACATAAAATAATAGAATTGGAGGCCTAGTCCACTCCCCTGCTCACCCAGAAGACTCTATAGTTTAATGAAAAGGAGTAGAGGTGACATGATTGCAGTCTTCCAATATCTCAGGGACTACCATAAAGAAAGGGGAGTCAAACTATTCCCCAAAGCACCTGAGGGCAGAACAAGAAGCAACAGGTGGAAACTAATCAAGGAGAGAAGCAACTTAGAACTGAGGAGAAATTTCCTGACAGAACAATTAATCAGTGGAACAGAAGTTGCCTTCAGAAGTTGTGAATGCCCCAACCCTGGAAGTCTTTAAGATGTTGGATAGCCATTTCTCTGAAATGGTACTATAGGGTTTCCTGCCTGAGCAGGAAGTTGGACTAGAAGACCTCCAAGGTCCCTTCCAACTCTGTTATTCTATTCTATTCTATTCCTAGGATATTGCTGGGTGAAGATGGAGAGCATAAAGTTTACCTCAGATTATTTTGGTTCATTGTTTTAAGGCTCTACCTCCATATACCTCATACTTCAAACCTTCTTCAACATCTTTAAACATGTATTTCCACCTCTATATTTTGATGGTTCACAGTCCTGGGCAACACTCCCTCTTGCAGGCCAATGAGAAGGCACAACAAAGGCTCCCAAATGGTGCCCTGTCTCTGTTCTTCCTTCCCTGATTTGCTTATGCAGCCTCGGAAAAAGGGACATAAAATCCTACCAGTCATTAAACAAGAGTGCTACAAGGAGTGGCAAACTCATGTGACTTATTAAGGGAGAAATAAATTCTGGTAGCTGTGAGTCAGAACAAGAAGGAAATGTCTCTCCCAGAGCTACAGGGGAAATGCTGCAAAACACACTTCATTTTGTTTCTCGGTATAGTTGAGAATATCAACCCAGCTTCCCAAGAGACAGAGCAAAAAGCTATGAAATCTATTACACATGCGTAGCTTCTGCTAAGCACTGCACAATGTTTTGCTGAGTATTTTCCGGAAGCAAATATTAATTTCGACTGTTATAACCCTCTCTGAGCATCATGTTTTTTCCAGGTTCTTCTACAAATTCATTGCATTAAATCTAGTTATGAATAGGGAGTAGCCCACTTTTGTTATTATTTATTAGATTTTTATCTCTTTTATTTTTTTGTAAATAATTCAAGGCAACAAACAGACCTGATTCTCTTTCCTCCTATTTTCCCCACAACAGTCCTGTGAGGTGTGTTGGGCTGAGAGATAGGGATTAGCCCAAAGTAATCCAGCCAGATTTCATGCCTAAAGCAGGGCACTGAATTTCTACTCCAGCACCTTAACCACTAGACCAAACTGGCTTTTCATTCCCATGTCCCCAGCTATACGTCACCATTCATTAATAAATCTCAATGGCTCTCTGAGTCACTTTTGTTTCTGTGTACAGATAGTCCAGGAGTTACAACTAAGGGTGGGATTCAGCCTGTTCGGACCGGTTCGGATGGACAAGTTGTTCTGATTTTGCGCTGTTCGGAGAACCAGTAAAATCGAACACCAGCTAGCCCCTCCCTACCCTGCCCTATATATTACCTTCCCTTCACCATGTTGTCCAGGCCATCCAGCTAATCTCCATGCCTTGCCTGCTCTGCTCGGCAAAAGTATGCATGCCGCCCATTCGCCCTTTGCCTCAGGTCGGGGCCCAGGGACACACCATTTCCTGGCTCCAGACTTGCCCCGGAGCCACTGCCCACTCGCCGCCTGCCTCGGCCGGGTTGTGGAATGCTTCATTCCCCAGCTCTAGCCTTGCCCTGGAACCACCACTTGCACACAAACACACCGGCCTCAAACTACCACTACCCAGGGCCAAAGCAATTTATTCGGCCTGCGGCCCCCACACTAAGCCAAATGGCTACCTTGGGGTGTGATGTGGGTGCAGGAGGGCCAAAGAGGTTTGAGAACAGACTGGATGGTTCTTCTTACTTGAAAGAAGTCCCATAAGAAAGCTCTGCAGTGCAGTTATTGCAGCCACTTCTGTCTCTTGCCGAGCCTTGGTTGCTCGCCAAGGTGCTCCATATGCTCTTCAGGTTGGCAGTTGCTTTTCTTGCTGGGAGAGTGTCTCTTGTGCAATTTAGCAGCTGTGAGCTGCCACTTTCCTTTAAGTCCCATCCAAAAAGCACTGTGGTACAGAGAACCAGCATTCAACATGGCTGCTGCTTCTCTCTCCTAAGTGCTTTCTGGATGGGACTTAGAGAAAAGTGGTGGCTTACAGCTGTTAAATTGCATAAGAGACGCTCTCTGTCGTCCTTCTCTTTTCTACTTCCCCTTCCTCTCCTTCTCCTCTCTCCTCTTTCCACTCCTCCTTTCTCCCCCTCCTCTCCTAACCCTCTCTTCTTCCCTTACCTCTTTCCTCTCTTCCATACTGTTCATCTCATTCACATGGTGTATTTCAGCCATTGAGCCAGCTCCATTTTATGCTGATGGTATTTGTAAATTCCGTGACCCGTCAAAACCGCGGTCCACAAAAGCGCGCTCGACGAAAGCGTGCATTTGACGTCATCACAGCACGACGAAAAAAATTTAAAATTGAAATAAAAATAAAATTAAAGCAAGCCGATTCACATAAAGGTAAGGGTTAGGTTTAGGGTTAGGGTTAGGGTTAGGTTAAGGGTTAGGGTTAGGTTTAGAGCGTTAGGGTTACGTTTAGCGTTAGGTTAAGGGTTAGCGTTAGGTTTAGCGTTAGGTTAAGGGTTAGGTTTAGGGTTAGATTTAGGGTTAGGTTAAGGGTTAGGGTTAGGGTTAGGTTTAGGGTTAGGTTTAGGGTTAGGTTTAGGGTTAGGTTTAGGGTTAGGTTAAGGGTTAGAGTTAGGTTTAGGGTTAGGTTAAGGGTTAGGGTTAGGGTTAGGTGTAGGGTTACGTTTGGGGGGGGTTAGGGTAAGGTTTTCGCTTTATTTTTACATTTATCGATCACAGCGCAATGTTTTTGTCGCGCTGTGATGACGTCACGTACGTGCTTTCGTCGAGCGCGATTTTGTCCTCCGCGGTTTTGTGGTGGAACCGTAATTTCATTTCAATAAGCATCTTTAATTTTAACATATATCCTTCATCTATCTGTCTGTCTGTCTGTCTGTCTGTCTGTCTGTCTGTATGTATGTATGTTGTATTTGTGCTGATAAATAAATAAAGGGAGACTAGTATTTAGCTCAAGCTATTTAGCTCTCATCAGCTAGCCATACCCTTACTGGGAATCGAACCTGTGCTGTATTTACATACATACATACATACATACATACATACATACAACTTATTTTTGGCCGAAATGTGGACCTGGTTACAATTTTTAGCTATACAGAGGAGCTGAAGAAGTTAGTTAGTCTTATTATGACTATGTTCTTATTTCATACCATTAATATGTGTCTTTTGCCTTTGTACAGTTTTGCCTTCACAAATAAAATCCAGAGACAGAAAGATTTAAGAGCACTTGTGAGATAAGCAACCCTAAATTGAATTAATAAACCAAATAAGTACTTATTTCCAGAAAGGTAGGATGATTGCTACAAGCTTAAAAACCCCTTAGATCAGAAACTCCCTCTCATTAAAAGCTAATGATAGTTTGAGCTTATCTCTCTATCTCTACAGGAGTTTCAACCAGCAAAGAAACACCCAAACTTACGTCATAATTAAAACAAAGAAATCCAAGACATTCCAAGGATCTCGCAGGTAAGTGAATTCATTACAAACAAATCCTCTTGCTACCACTTTGATTACAAACTCCGCTGTATAAAGGCTGGTGAAAATAATTCTGAAAAGGAAAGCAGCAAAGAAGGAAAAGCCATTAGAAACAGAAACGAGAGGATATTTAGTTTGCAGTACTGACTATCTAGATGTTAGTGATGGAAGCAGAAGTGGGTGCTTTTTGAGTAACTGTTTTCAATAACAAGGGGCATCTCTGATTAATGTGCGCTCAGGTTTGCAAACTGGTAAGTGAATCCCACCGCTGGCCGTACCAAAATAAAACCCAAAGAAAAGGAAAACCTCTATGACAGTGATTCCCAAGATATGATCTCAGGACCCCAAGATCACTTCAGGAGGTCTGCAAAGAGAAATAAATATTTGATTTTTTTTTCAGAATAACAGAATAACTTGGAGATCTTCTAGTCAAACCCTCTGCTCAATCAGGAAACTATACCACTATATACAAATAGTTGTCCAGTCTCTTCTTACAAACCTCCAGTATTGGATCATTCACAACTTCTGGAGGCAAATTGTTCTACCTAGGGACCTTCAATCCTTTTAAAGAATCCTGAAACCCAAATGTTTGAGAGTCACTGCTGAATGATAACGTTGCAAAGGAAGATAGTGTCAAATTTCTCATTATTGGTGTTCTTTAACCTGGAGCACATTGCTGAGTGAAAATAAGCCCCACTAATGAGATCTGAGTCTCATTTTGCAATACAATTAATTAAATTTGTAGATAATACATAAAATCTGATAAAGATAAAACAAAGTCCAAAAGTAGTTAGAAAAAAAACTGAAGACGCTTCTTGGGTGAGAAGCAAAATGTTTTTAAAAAAACCCAAGTCCAGCTGCCTTTTGAAAAACACATTTGGGATAACTATGACCTGGATGATTGAGAATCTCTATAGACAGAAAGAGACGTGCTCAATTCACTTATTAGGAAATAGCTAAAGGGCTAGTAGAGCATCAGAGTCATTTTATCACTGGGATAAATGTATATAAATTACATTAATAAGGGTATATTAATTACATTAATAAAAACCAAGGGTCTAGGGTGATCAAAGACCATGACTGCAGAACCAGAGGTGGGCTACTGGAGGTTCGCACGGGTTCGGGAGATCTTCTAGTTAGGATTCTGCCCAGTTGGCAAACGCCCCAAATGCCACTTATTGGCTCCGCCCACCACTCCCTCCCCTCCCAGAAGTCTCCACGTGGGCTGTTCATTATGCAAGGTAAGTGCAGGGTTCATGCAGAGGCTCGGGTAGGGCAAAAAATGGGTCTACCAGAGGTTCCAAAAGTCCAGAAATGGGCTTGTTTCCATCCTCTGGAGCCCGAGGGAAGCAGTTTTTGCCCCCCCCCCCGAAGGCTCAAGGAAAACCTCTAGAACCTGGCGAGGGCAACCTCCCCCTGCCGTGGTGCAGGAGCTGACTAGACCATGCCCACCATGGCCACCCAGCAATGGCATAGCAAACCTGTTGCTCGAACCTTTGAAGCCCACCCTTGTGCAAAACCAGATCCCAAGTTCTTTTTAATATGTGTACATGCATAGTGCATGTAAGTGAAGTATGGAGCTTTGTTTCTCCAAGTCCTGATGGCAATTTGACTTTTATGACTCACCTCCTGGATACAGGTCAAAATCCATCAACAAGGAAAAGAATTAAAATAACTTCTTGAAGATATTTAATATAGAATCAGGTAGAACATAAGAAGGGCTGCAGAAGCTCTGATTAGAAAAAAATCTGGCAAAAGTTTGGTCAGCTCACTGGAAACATATTAAGGCTAGTACCTGCTATGCTTGAATTCTCAGCTTCAGAGTTTGGACTGATTCCCTGAACTGTTTTGGCTTTAGCACTGCTGCTTGTGTTGTGTAGCTCTGTCAAGTCCATTAGATCCATTAATTGTTGCTTGTGGGGAAAATATGAAAGTTTAGAATATACTTACTCAGTAGTGTTGCCATCAGTTGGAGGATTGTTTAAAGCCATAAAAACACAGTTGACAAGAACAACACATGTTATAAATGCAATAAATATAGTGAATAACGTTAAGGAAATTATCTTCCTTTGAAGAAGGAAAAATGCATTTGTATGTTCAATTTATGGTTAATATGGTAAAAAGTGATTCTTTTTCAATTGTATTCTTAAATTAAAGGGAGCATTTCAAAAAATAGGATAATGCAATTGTTCTACTCAGTTTTCCGGTTATGACCCTCACTCCTCATTTACATTGACTCAAGCAGGGTCAATTGACCCAATATTCAATCTCAAAATGGTTTCGTTATAAATCCAACCCACCTAATTTTGATCATCATGAGAGAACTGAGGAACCCAAGTGTTTGGATTTTGTTTGGGGTGAATAGAACATGTGAATCCAATCAAAAATGATATAAAGTTGCTGGGATCACAAAAGATCTATTCCAAATTTAATAAAACCCAATTATTGCCATGACTGTTGCTGACTACAGTAGTATGGTGTATTAAGCGACTAGTTCTGTCCTTATTACAGCTAGGTATATATAATCTCCCTATGCTGAAATAGTTGGGTCTGAGCATATGGAATCCATATATACAACTATACAACTATAGACAGTCCTCAACTTACAACCATTCATTTAGTGACTGTTAAGGTTAAGATCCTCATTAATAGGATTCAGCTTAGTTATTGTTAGAGGTATCAAATTGCTACAGGCTTTTTGTCATGCAGAAATGAAGGTTGAATACAAAGGCCCTCAGTATAGGTAGTCCTTAACGGTTCCACCACAAATCCGCGGTAGACTAAAGCGCGCTTGACGAAAGCGCGTACGTGACGTCATCACAGTGCGACAAAAACGGCACGCTGTGAGCAGTAAATTTAAAATTAACGCGAAAACCTTACCCTAACCCCCCCAAACCTAACCCTAAACCTAACCCTAAGCCTAACCCTTAACCTAACCCTAAACCTAACCCTAACGCTTAACATAACCCTAAACCTAACCCTAACCCTTAACCTAACCCTAACCCTTAACCTAACCCTAACCCTAACCCTAACCCTTACCTTTATGTGAATCAGCTTGCTTTAATTTTATTTTAATTTTAATTTAATTTATTTTTAATTTTATTTGTCGCGCTGCTGCTGATGTCACGTACGCGCTTTGATCGGGCGCGCTTTAGTGGACCGCGGTTTTGACGGGTCACGGTCCTTAACTACCAGTGAAGTTACAATAACACTGAAAAAAAGTGACTTATGATTGTTTTTCACACTTAATAAACATTCCATGGTTATGTGATCAAAATGACAACTGGCTCATTATGTATGTTGGCTGCAGTATCTCAGGGTCCTGTAATCGCCTTTTACAATCATCTGACAAGCGAAGTCAATGGGGAAGTCAGGTTCACAACAACCATGATAACAACTACAATAATCCACTTAATGACTATGGCAAAAAAGGTTGTAATATGAGGCAAAGCTTACTTAACAACTATCTCACAACAATTTTGGGCTCAATTGCAGTCATAAGTTGAAAATTACTTGTACAGTGTTTGGTAGAAAAGCAAGAAAGTAAGAAGCCTCCTATATGAGACTCATTTCTCTCTAGGCTAAAAGGACAGTATATAAAAAAGAAAGAAAATACAATTGTCTTCATATATCATGCTAAATTCAAACCAATAAACAATATTTTGGCATATCATAAATGTCTTATTCACATAAAAAGATGGGATAGTGGCTAGATTTCCATGATACACTGAATTATAAACTATATGAATCCAGCCTAGATTGGTACACATGTAAAAAGAGCTAACCTTCATATTTACTAACAATCACTGAGTGAATCCCCCTTTTCACATTAGAAGGATATACATGTATTAAAATTTTTATGGCTAGTCTCCTTAGTGGGTGGAAAGGACTAAATAAAAATAAAGATTTGGAGGCCGTAAATCGAAAGATTCTGCTTCGGGATGATAGCACCATAAACGTCTGTAAAATATAGATAAATTGTTTGTAAGTAACGCTGTTTAGAAGAGATTTTAAAGAGCACATTAAATATTATTTATTTAAATGATGTAACAACCAAACTCTCAGCTTAAAGCCCTTGTGTTGGACTAGAACTCCCAGAATTGCCAAGTCTAAACAGATCTTAAGGATATCAGAGTAGGAAGATTGAAATGCTTCCACCAATATAAATTCAGTGCAGTTTTGTACATTTTGACATGGAGAAATACTACATACCAATCTTAGCAACTACAGAATTGTGTCTCTTATACAAAAAGTCAGCAAGTCCTATCCTATCATGGCAATAATGAGACATATAAAAAATCAGAAAACCTTGATGCTTACATTAGGTGGAAAAACTAGCCAATTTTGAGGTTTTATGATTCCTCATAGCAGATACCAGCTTTGGACTTTACAATTTAGATCAATTTATAACCCTTTTCTTCTATAGGCAGTCCTTGACTTACAACCATTCATTTAATGAACATTTCAATTACAATGTGGCCATTTTTCACATTTATGTTCATCACAGCATCCCCATGGTCATATAATCAAAATCCAAACATTTGGCACGTATTTATGACTGTCACAGAGACTCGGAGTCATGCGATCTGCTTTTGCAACCTTCTGACAAGCAGACTCAATGAGAAAGACAGATTCACTTAACAACCATGTGACCAAGTCAGCAAATACATTAATAACTGCAGTGATTCATTTAACAACTGTTGTAAGAAAGGTCATAAAATGGGGCAAAACTCACTTAATAACTGTCTTGCTTAGGAATGGAAATTTTGGATTCAGTTGTGGTCATAAGTCAAGGACTACTTGTATACCACTTTTCTGACTACAATGTTTGTGCACTTTCCAAGTGGCTGTTTTTCTGCAGACCAACATCAGGAAATCCAGTTCTTGATTTTCAAACTCATAATTTTGTTTCTTGAAATGGGAAAGGGCAGAATATGTACCGTTGGAAGCATCATTATGATGTGATATTACCATGTAATTGAAAAAAGACTGCAGGCGGACTATATTTTAGCATAGTTTGGAAACAAAAATTACTGGGAATATTGTGGAGGAGCAGAGTTAAGGCTGTATAAGCAATAATGCACTTTTGAACAGTAATAGGTTTTAGTACATCCCAATTAATCTTTGTAGTTTTCTAGGTTTAGGCGTTTATCATTTAATTGCCTGTCCTGGTTCATTTAAAGTCTAAACCTCCAATTCCCCCCCCCCCAAAGCTTCTTCAACATTTTCTTTTTCTGTAAGAAGCACACTTTCACAACCCCAGAATGTTTTTTTCTAGTATCTCAGTTTGAAGGAAATCCACAATCTTTCCCATTTTTGTCTGACAATTTTGAAATTCAGAGAAGACTACATCAATTTGGGCTCACATTCTTTCCCTCAACTGATGCATAAGAGACTCTGGAAGACAGTATCTCAGCCTCTGAGCTGTCATAGGTTCTGGATTAATAAAAATCCCCTCAATATTTTTTCATTAAATTAAAATAAAATACAATGTTTTTTCTTTACACATCTTGGTTTCCTTTTTATCTGTGAAATCTAGATATTATCACAGGTTCTAATCTACAGATTAGATCAAATCTATCTCTGACAGCAGCCATCTACCAACAGTTAATTCCAGAGTCAATAAAGTACATATTTTCTATTTGAAACTCAGACACATATTTCATAATTAAACTATTTAGGACTCTTCCATTCATGAACACTAACCCATTTTATGTTTCAGCTCTTTTTTTTAAAGGAAAAAAACTCTACTTTTGAGTGCCTCAACATTCTACTGTAGCTTACTTACTTTAATCTCATAAAAGCATTTTATATCAAAAATAAGATATATTAAAAAAACACAAATGTATGACCTCATGATCCCTGTAATAGGCGTCAACATCTTCCAACGGTTCTCCGATGAGCCAAGGAGGAGGCTTCCCATAAAGAATAGGCAGCTTTTTTAAAACTTTCAGATCGAGCTGTGGTTGAATATTTTCTTCTTCTGTTTCATTATTGTCCTTTTCCGAGGCTTTGGAGCGATTGGCTTTCTTCTCGGCAATTCTCTTTCTAACTGCATCCAAAGATTCAGGGGTGAATCGGAGGAAATTATGGGCCGTTGAAAAAGAAAAATTTGGCATCCTTCTGCCCTGGGACTGTAAAAGGAGACAAACAAATTTTATGATTGCAAGAGAAATACAACTGATAATTATAGTCATATCATACAAGATGGCTTGTATATCAAGCCATCAGCAAAATTAGACATACAGCAAATAACATTTGGTTATTTAATTTTATCATAAAGGCATGAAAGCTATTTACTTTGAAAATTTACAATCTATCTTTGCATTATGTACTTGGTTAATTTGATTAACTTACATTAGTTAACTTAAATCTAATTTAAGGGACAAAATAGACTGCTCCATTCTTCCAAAAACAAAGACATAATTAAGATGTCAGATTTTAGCTGTAAAGCCATTGTTAAGAGAAAACCAAAAATTTTACTCATTCATGAGTTAAGTCAAATACTGGTTTAAATGGACCATAAGAATCAAATATGGTCAGCCCCTTAATTATGAGGGCCAAACTAAACACTAGCTTTGCATTTAGACAAGTGTTTCTTGAACCTATTCACATATATCACAGGCAACCAGTTTTATGTAGAGGTGCTAGCCTAGAGACCAGGAGATTGTGAGTGTTAGTCCCACATTAGACATGAAAGCCAGCTGGATGACATTGGGCCAATCATCAGAAGACTGAATTCTAGTCAAGCTTTAGGAATGAAAGGTGATGACTTTCGTCCAATCTCTCTCACTCTCAGCCCAACCCCCATCACAGGGTTGTTATTGTGGGGGAAATAGGAAGGAGTGTTAGATATGTTCATCACCTCTATGTGGAATAAAAATCTAAAAACACCTACATTAAAGACAATAGTTCTCAACTCCTCTGTCATATTGGTTGGGATTCACAAAAGAATATGTAGCCATGGAGCTGGCTAGTGCCATGAAAGTTCCCCCCACCTGTTAACTAATTTTAATGTCGCATTTTAACCACTATTGCCCTATTTTTAAATTTTTATATTCAACTTTTTGTTTTTAACATTTTATTTTTACAATGTCCAGGATCCCTCTGTAAGGGAGATGGACAATTTCCAAATGTCTGAGGCAGGTTTTACCCAAAGAAACTTCAGGAATGCTTCCATGAAGTTTTCCTGCAATGAGACATAAATCTTCTATTTTTTAGATATATGATGAAAGATAGGTAGGTAGGTAGGTAGGTAGGTAGGTAGGTAGGTAGGTAGGTAGGTAGGTAGGTAGGTAGGTAGGTAGGTAGGTAGGTAGGTAGGTAGGTAGACAGACAGACAGACAGACAGACAGACAGACAAACAAACAGACAGACAGATAGGTAAAAGGTTAAGAGTGATACAGACGACAAATGTTTACTTCTGTAAAGCTTATTGCCTTCCTAGTTTGGTTCATGTAACAAAATGGAGGAGAAAAATATATGCATTAAATCAAGGAGATAAACATAGTGAGCAAGAAGCAAAAGAAGATGGAAAAACAAGGTTGGGAAATTTTCATTTTACTCAGCACTGGTTTCAAACTTTACCTTGCTTTTAAAACAGAAATTTATCTTAAAATAATATAGATACAATACATATTTTTGTTTGAAGTTTAAATCTTCCTAGCATTTGTGATAATCATTTTACTTAATTTTATTACCACGGATCTTCTTATAAATGTCTATTGAGTGAATATTCATTTTAACAACAACAAAAGACAGAAATTATAAATAAAGATTTGAAAAATGTATTTTATAACTAAGTTAACGATACTCGTTACCTTGGGTTCTTTACAAAAATAACAATAAAGGTAAAAAAATATTGTTTAAAAATATTGAAAAAGATAGGACAGATATATAGTGACCTTTATATAAGCTAGTTTTAATTCTTCAGAAGTCAAACAATCACAAAACCTAGGTGAGATCTGGGATCTCTCTCTTACAACAACAAGATAATACTGAAGAAAATCTATTCTCCTTCCATCTGTAGCATCAAGGAAAAAGACCCAACTCAGAGAAAGCGGATCTGAAACATATTTGAAAGAATATGATACTGAAGCAAGGAGAAGAAGGAAAATTGGATTTTTCCAAGAACTGTAAATAAACCAGAATGTTATGCAAACTTTAGAACAAAACCCAACAAGTAGATACATTACGTATTAACATACAACTATTCTTGTCAAACAAGAACCATGCTTTTAAGGCCCTATAGATTCCATAACATTATAAATTCTAATATACCAGTAACTGAGACTATAAACCACCAGCAGAATTCCATCAACTATAGAACTCTATGCAAGATGCTTGAAAATACACAATCTTTATATTAGTTAGTTGACTCTACATCAAATACCCCATATTAAAGATTCTTAAAATGTTACTATCAACTCTTCATATTTTGTATTTTTTCTTGCTTAAAAGAATAATTGAAAATACGAAATTACTTTGCTCATTGTTTCACATAGTTTCACAATTTAGAAATGTTTACTATCATGATAAGTACATATTTCTCCTTAATAGTATCCAGACTCACTTAATCTTGAAGATTCTTTTTTTCATCCAGTTAAGTCTTTTCAAATGACAAATACTCTGCTTTATCAGATAAAATAACAGTGATATTCCTCTCTTATTGTTTCCTGCTCTGGAAAGGGTTGGTTCTGTGGGCTTCTGGTAGAATGGGGATGTGAAGAGGAAAAAACGCATGTTTTAAGGCTGAAAGAAACAAATGAGATTTCAAGAGATATCCCAGGAAATAAATTAATGTGAGGAAATAAATGGAGATGGTAATTATCAACTTTTAAGTAGAAATGAGTTATTTCACTACAGTAGAAGCACTGTGAAGCTAATAACACAAAAAGGTTTTGCTCATCAAAATTGAGGGAAAAGGGCAATTAGACAATATTACTTCTTTCCAGACTCTTAAATTGAAGCACAGAGTGAGCCAGCAAGTCTATTTCATGTGCTTTATTTTCATGGTGACTCCTTTGATAGTAATTAAAGAAAGTTCTGTATGTAATTCTGCCCACTGAAATTTCCTTTCCAGTATAGACAAGCAATTGGTTTGAATGCTCTCTGTAGTACATTATGGCCAGCTTTTAAATTATTACTATTTCCTCTGATTCTAATACTGATTAGAATCTGTATAATATTGAAATAATACTGAATAATACTGATTAGGCAGTATTGAATGTAGAGAGCCGGTAGACTTATGATCACAATTGAGTCCAAAATTTCTGTTGTTAATGGACAGTTGTGTCTTTTGCCCCATTTTATAACCTTTCTTTAAAGGTTGTTAAGTAAATCAATATAGTTGTTAAGTTAAGAACATATTTGTTAAGTGAATATGGCTTCTCCATTGACTTTGCTTGTCAGTAGGTCACAAAGGGGTTAGGGTTAGGAATCATATGACCTCAGCACACTACATCCCTTATAAATATGAATCAGTTGCCAAGCATCCAAATTTTGATTACGTACAGTAACTATAGGGATGTTGCAATGGTCATAAGTGAGTCAGTTTTTTAAGTGCTGTTGTAATTTTGAACGGTCACTAAACAAAGAGTTTTGTTTTGTCTAGAATTACCTATATAAAAATATATCCAATATATCCTGTACAGCTTTTCTTATTACAGTATTGAGATGGAGCTGAATATACTTTAATACAGACTTCCACACCCTGAGAACCTCCAGATTTTTGGACTTCAATTCCCATAATTCTCTAGCTAGATAGTCCTTTGCTGAGAATTCTGATAAATGAAGTATACAGGTTTTGATGGTACATAAGACATTAACAAACATGTAGATTAGACATATTATTCTAAGTTATATGTATATATTCAATGCATAAGTATTTAATGGATATCAATTCAGGGATCCCCCCCCCCCCCCGTATTGAAAGCCTTGGGGACATAGAATAAGGGCTCAGATGTCCATTTTTATAAAGGGTACCATTGCATTCACTGCCAGGGCTGATGTAATATATAGGGTGATTTAACAAACACTAAATGTCCAGAAATCTAGCTGACAACAGATTTTCAAGCACTTTAATGTTAATTAGGTCATGCTGCAGTTTTGAATAAAACTATTCCTGTTAAAAGGTCTTGTTGCTGATTTAGAAGTATCACATATAAGTACTAGTCTTCAGGTGACATTTAAGAGGATTCTAGAATTGTTATTGTCTATAACACACAGGTAAAATATTTTCTGAGGCAAGTTTCACCCTGAGAAACTTCAGGAACACTTCCATGAGGTTTTCCTGGCAGTGGGATAAAAATAGATCTTCTACTATTTTGATAGGTAGGTAGGTAGGTAGGTAGGTAGGTAGGTAGGTAGGTAGGTAGGTAGGTAGGCAGGCAGGCAGGCAGGCAGACAGACAGACAGACAGACAGACAGACAGACAGACATAGAGACAGAACAGAGACAGACAGAATTAGGGAACTGTATTTTTTACCTCCAATTCTGGTGATTTCTCACCCAAGTACTAATAAGCCTGGTCTTGCTTATCTTCAAAGTCCAACCAAGGCTAGCCACTGACTGCCACTTGCTTACTGTCATTGACTATGGCCATCAAGTGGCTGTTGACTCTTAGTGACCACATGGACTGATCTTCTCCAGGAGCTTCTGTTCCCAACCTGGTCTTCAGATCTTCCAACAGTGGACATATCACCACTGTAATCGACTCTATTCCTCCTGTTGGTGATCACCCTCTTGCCTTTTCCTGGGCCTCTGCATTATACAGGCAGTGCTCGATTTATGGCCAGAGTTGAATCCAAAATTTATGTTGCTAAGCAAAACATTTGCTAAGTGAGTTTTGTCTCATTTTATGACTTTCCTTGCCACAGTTATTAAATGAAATCACTGCAGTTGTTAAATTAGTAATACGGTTGTAAGGTGAATCTGGCTCCACAATTAATTTTGCTTTTCAAAAGATCGCAAAAGATAATCACATGACCCCAAGACACTGCATCATCACAAATATGAACCCATTGCAAGCATCTGAATTTTGATCATATGACCATAGGGATGCTGCAACGGCTGTAAATATGGAAAATATAAATCACTTTTTTCAGTGCTGTTGTAAATTTGAACAGTCACTAAATAAAAGGTTGTAAGTCAAGGACCCCTTGTGTGATAAGTTGAGGCTAATCATTTAGACCTTCCCCCTGTTGGGAAATTTGCTGTCTCCTTTGTTGATCTCATTCCTGTTTTTATTGCTTTTCTTTCAACTCATTGCAGGTGTCCTGGCTTTCCTTCAAATAAATTAATAAACTTTCTTTGACATAGTTTTCCCTTTGACATTCAAACTAAGATTTAGAAAAAGTACAATAAAAAGAGTGTTGACGCTTTTGAACTTGGATGCTATCAAAACCATCAATAAAACAATTAATTAATCAATCAATCAATCAATCAAGAAGTCTAACTTGAGATACAATGACCGGGCTGAAATAACCATACTGTGGATCCTTTATGCAAATATGGAGTCCTCCTGGACCCACAGCTGACTTTTGACCACCAGCTGTCAGCTGTGACCAGGGGGGCATTTGCCCAGGTTC